GACTCGACCGAAGAGAAGCCACCCTTCTTCATCGCTTATGGCTAAGAGTGGCATTTACAAAATCTTATTCCTTTGTCATAGGAATGGCCGACAATGCTCTCTGCGATGCCTGTCATTGCGAAGAGACGCTACACCACATCCTGTGTGACTGTCCGTTGTATGAAATCCAGAGACAGTCACTGGCGTCCGCTTTTGCGCGCATCGACAACAGCCAAATGTCTGTGGACACTATTCTGTCAAGTGCCCGAGAACAGACAATGCAACAGAAGGCGACGAAAGCTCTGTTGAAATTCCTACGCCACACGGACTTGAACAAGCGACTGTAATAGCAATGTCACACACCGCGAAAGACAAGACTGGACTATATATGACTGAGTGTGCGCGCGTGTGCTGCCGAATGTGCTGTGTTTCTCTCTTCCCTCTCTGCTCACTAGCTTTCATCTTTCCCATCCCTCTCCCATGCGCAGGGTAGCAAACCGGTTGCCTATAGGCTGGTTAACCTCCCTGCCATTCTTTTCCCCCTATTTTCCTTCCAAAGCATTGCAAAACGGGTATTCCATATTCTCAGGCCTACCGGTACCGAAGAATATGCACCGATATGCGGGAATTTGACAGACACGCGGAACACCTAAAGCATTCCTTCTTGAAACAAAAATATCCGGAAGACATTATTGACGATGCCATACTACGTGCTCGCAACGTGAACAGGAATGATATATTTAAGGGACCAAAGAGAGTATCTAAAACGACTTCCCAAACGAACCTTGTACTAACTTACTCCTCATCAGCGCCACGAATCAACAACATACTTTCCCGCCATTTCAACATAATCAGGGAAAGCAAACGATTAACTTCTATTTTCGCGAAACCACCTCACGCGGTGTACCGCAGGGATAAAAATCTGAAGGACATTCTTGTCGGAGCAAAAACAATCACCCCCAAAATTCAATCAGCGTGCCATCCCTGCGGAAAAGCTCGATGCAAGGTATGCCCACAGATGGTCACAACACGTGAATCCAAAGCGAACTTCTCGGATTTCAAATTCTGCATAACTGAAAGCCTTAATTGTGACTCCAGTAACGTAATATACATGCTACATTGCAACATCTGCGGACAAGAATATATCGGCCAAACAGACACGCCATTTCGGCTGCGGTTCAATAATCACCGGTACCACGCCACTTCACTGCCGAAGCTACCTTTATCTAGACATCTGCGCCTGCCAAACCACAGTTTTAAAAATATCATCGTAACTCTTTTGCAGTCCGGTTTCTCAAACAGGCGCGAGCTCGAACAGCGTGAGGCATAATTTATTTTCAAATTTCGAACATTAGTAGCCGGCATCAACGAGGACCCCGGAGGACTTTCTTGCCTCCGAGAAGTAAGCCAGGAGGAAATTGGTGACAAAGATTGATAGCTGGAGACCATGCTTCTTTTTTCTGACTGACTCATACGTGTACACTGTCCTTTCTTGTTTTTTTTGTTTTTCTTCTTTTTTTTCCTTTTTTTCTTTTTTTCACATGCACATACAAAGTGTTTATGTTCGCCTACCACTTGATGACCATTGAAGGGAAACGGACGAAGATTAAAGGTGAAGAGCCGACCGACCCATTAAGGGGAAACCCTTTCTTTACGCACGCCGTCACGGACCCCTCCCGCCACCGCGGCGACAATCTTGGGTGGCCCGACACACGACGAGAACTGACCAGCACGTGATAAGAACCGGATGTGGACGTACACGGACAGTTGGTTTCGTTCTCAGTGTTGGCAGTGGTTCTTCCTCTTTTTTACTTTCTTTCTTTTCTTTCTTTTTCTTTTTTTCGTCTTTTTTTCTTCCCCTTTTTTTCTTTTTTCTTTCTTTCCTTTTTTTAGTTGCCTCTCACTCTCGCAAACATCTTTCAAGGCGAGAGGGACGCGGCAGCAACGAAGTTTGGAAGTTCATGTCAGTATAACTCATCCCCTGATGAAGCGAGGACTCCTCCCAACACTGTTGGGAAATAAACATATTTATCCTTGTTGATAACGCTCCCGTTGTGCCATATCATATATATATATATATATATATATATATATATATATATAGAGGCAGGCATGGTGGCTGAGTGGCCGTAGCGTTGCATATAGTCCAGTAGATCCTCCGGAGGATCTATTGGTCTATATATATATATATATATATATATATATATATATATATATATATATATATATATATATATATATATATAGAGAGAGAGAGAGAGAGAGAGATTTGGAAATGATCAAGCCGAGAAAACATTCATTGAACAATTGACTACAGGCTACGACGACAGTACTCCGCAATAAGTAACATCTCGTAGGAAGTACTTTACATAGATGGGTACAATGATTCGCGTCAAAAAAGAAGAGTACCTGTTGCCTTCTTAATTGTTAGTGAACCAGTAGTGAGTAGAGGGAGACCCAAAATCTGTGGCATATCGACATCTATAATGATCATAGTTTCCTGGTGACGATGGGCATCTTACGGCCCGCTATAGCAGCTGCGAGGCCTTGCTTGCTTTTATTTTTTTAGCGTTATTCTTCCTTTTATTTATTTCCTCTTCTCCGTTACCCTCTCTAATTTTTTCTATCTTTTTGTCAATGTTTGTTTCGTTCAGTTCAATTTCTTCCTTTGTGTCTCCACTTCTTTCTTTTTTGTTGTTTCTGCCTTTATCTCTGTGTTTCACTTGTTTTTCGTCTGCCTCTTCCTGTCCCTACATCTCTTTCTCTCTCTTTCTTTGATTCTCTCTTCCTCTTTCTGTCTTGCTTTCTGTTTTTTTATGCATTTTTGTGTGTCTATTTCTTTATAATCTTTCCTTCATATTATTTTTAGGTATTTTCATATTTCTCGTTTTCATTTCTTTCCTTCTATTTGAGCTAGTTCCCTCGTCAATCAGAGTTATTGCATCCCACGTTGAACAAATTGGCTCACGTTTCCTGGCACTGAAGCTGAGAAGATGAAGACGAGGACAATGTGAGCGCGCACCAGTTCGGAATGATGATAACTACCCGTCGACTCTGCCCTGTATAACAAAAATCTCTACAGCTCCACAGCAAAAAAAAAGAAATAAAGTCGACCAACATCGAAACAATATGCAAGCAAAGGTCCGTTTCCTGGGGCAATCGGCGCTCGTCTCTTATTTGATCATCCGACGTGTGAACGCCCTAATCTTCGGGCCCCGTTCACGTATGCGAATGGCTGAAGTCTTTTGTGTCTCGCCATAGTCTACCCAAAAAATTCCATTTTCAGGTTACGACGCACGCACGAATAGACAAAAGGGCCATTGTTTAAACGTTCAGTTTGCGCTAGCTGTGCAACTTCTCGAGGATATCCGCCTAAGACCTGTGGTGCAAGTTCTCGCGTCAACGGCGAGAAGCGTTGAGCTTGTTCCACAGGCTTTAATATTTACTGTAGTCAATCATTGGTCCCATGCGAAGAGACAATGGCGTGTCAGTTTGACTTCGCTATGAAAACAGTACATACGCAAAATTGGCTGAGGCGAATGCGAATCACGCAAAAACGGACTCGTGCACACTAAGCGTGCACAAAAAAACGCCTGCGTTAAGCAGCTCAGCTGCACACGCCTCTTCACGTTGTTCTTGTAGTAGCCTTTATCATTCAGCTAATCAGTAGCAGCCTTAATCACTATTTGCCTATGATAGTTTCTTAACAACAGAGCTCAAGGACATGTACCTGTACGCTGTTTCAATATTTGCCCCTGCCACCAAGAAAACTCGCACTGTAAGCTCTACTTTTATTTTCGGGTACTTAGGCGTGATGCAAGAAGAAGCATCAATGTTGCAAGAAGCCCTGACTTTATAAGTAGGCTTTATACTACGACAAATCATGATATTTGAGTCCTACCTAGACACCTATTCACAGCTGCTCAACTTAATAAAATACACCTGATACTTAATGATGAAATAAACCTGAGAGAGAGCTCTGGCTTCCGGGAAGCTGTGCGATATTATTGAATGCCGTTCCCGGCGTCAACCCAGGTCTTACATAATTTCTTGCCGTGGCTCATAGAAAAATCTGTCTAGATCTTACAATATCGGTAAAGGCCACGCCAACGTGCACTGCTTACGTTATTACATTGGTGGCTAACATACGTGCGTTTCATTGAAAACATTGTGGCAGCTTAAACACACACTCGAAAGGATATTATGGTGGCGCACTAACTACACAATGACCCAGTAGACCCGGACCAGCGCAAAGACAGCGTCTTCTGTGTATGCAACCACTTACTACCAACCATCCTTTCCCTCGAAATATGAACCAACTCGGGCAGCAGCAAGTTTTAGATGATCATGCCTCTTAGAGCTCTTTTGTCTGGAAAACCACATGAGACTTCAATACTTGAAGAGGAATGACTTGAGCTTCCCAGAGTAGCTACTCTGTACCTTGCTTGCGAATCATCTAGACTAATTATTAACTTATCTCTCTCTCAATTCCGCTCTCTCTAAATATCCCATTCTATTGGACTTGGCAGCGTCTTCGTACTCTCTTCTTCTGCAGTGTTTCAATTATTTTGTACCTAAGTTTCTTGTATATTGTGCTGGTCAACATTTCATCTAGTTTATATCATCGTCTTTCATTTGCCTTTCTTTCCCAGTGTGTCTCAGCGCCCCGCCACGGTGGTCTAGTAGCTAAGGTACTCGGCTGCTGACCCGCAAGTCGCCAGACGGAATCCCGGCTGCGGCGGCTGCATTTTCGATGCAGGCAAATACGCTGTAGGCCCGTGTGGTCAGATTTGAGTTCACGTTAAAGAACCCCTGGTGGTCAAAATTTCCGAAGTCCTCCACTACGGCGTCTCATAATCGTATGGCGGTTTTGGGACGTTAAACCTCATATATCGATCAATTCTGTGAGTCCCAGTGGCGATGCCCTTTGGGTCACAGAAAAGCTAATCTCGAAGGCTGTGTTTGTGCTTAATATACATGCACACAAAGCTCGCTTCGCGTGAGCTTTGCTTCACGCTCACCTGTACGAGCTGGAAGAACTGTGACGCCTTGGCGATGGGGTCGGTGACGGCGTTGCATGCTGCGCCGAACAGCACCAGTTTTTTTGGCCGCTTGTCGATCATGTCGAACAGAGCCTTCATGCCCACTGCTGGGTCGCACTGCACGTACAAGAGAAATGCAAAAATACATTAACCCTTGCTCTTCGACGTTTGATAATAGTATCAGAGAAAATGTGAAAAATACCACTACGCTGAAGTACTGCTACACCTTGCTTACCTTACAAGAATACAAATAGCCGTTTAATCAAAAAAAAAAACGCACACGCGCACATAAACAAATGACAATTATGCGTTAGGGATGAAACACCCTTGAACAGTGGATATCACTGGAGCCAAGGTTTCGACAAAATGGTCGTATCCTTCAAGATACAACCACGTGGTGCTTCCTTGAAGACACCATTCCTGAAAACGTTGGCTCCAGCGATACTCACTGTTCAAGAGAGTTTTATGGCTTCAATCCTAGACTTTCTGCTGAACTTCCACCAAGTGCGCTTTGAGAATGTTTTCTCTGCGTCCAAATAAATAAAATAAGCTAGAAAGACGAAGAATTGAACCATACCAGTGATGTAGTGTTAGATACCGTGGCACCTACGTGAAAAGTTTAACTTGGTTTTAAACTAAGCTGATTTTTGATGCCATAAGTGTTGATCTCATCTGAATTCTGGTGGCACATGCGTGTAATTAGTCGGAAGGAATAATAATAAGAATATCTGGGGTTTATCGTCCTAAAACCGCGATATGTTTATGAAAGGCACCGTATTGTGGACTGCTCCGGAAATTTTGATAGCCTCGTGTTCTTTAACGTGCACCTACCGCCAAGCACACGGCCTTCAAATTTTTTTCATTTGCATAGAAAATACCACCACCGCAGCCGGGATTCTGTCCCGTGACCTTCAGGTTTGCAGTCGAGCGCCATAAGCGTCAGAGCACCGTGGCGGGGCAACACAGAAGGAAGGATTGTTGCCGTGACGACAGTAACTTACAATGCAATTTACGCGTGCGCCGTATACGTGTGTACGATGTAGCACATGCACGTGTTAATATGCCACAGTATAAATGTTAACACGCTTCTGTTCTTTTCGCCTTTCATGGCTATGGTGAATACTGGAACCCTTTCCAGTTTATTTATTTATTCATTTATTTATTTTCAACTACTGCAGCCCAATGCAGGGCTATTGCAGGAGTGGGGTACATACAGTAGGAAAGAATATGAGTAACATCAAAACAAGCTCTTCATCAGAAAAAATCACAAAAATTATCGCCACATTCTAAGCACAACCGAGTACATAAATGAAAAAAAAGGCCAACAATGTCATTTCAGTGCCTCCAAAAAATCTGACATATTCATTTCACGAACCGAACCTGGTAGTTCGTTCCAGTAGACAATAATTGGTTCCTTTGTCAATGTTTTGCGTTTCAGCTGATAGAGAGGCGCGGTGTTTGTTAGCACTTCATTGTGAAACTGCATACCCTCATTGTTTACCAAAGATATTGTCTCCAACACACCCAAATTCTTCGTTTAGACGAGATAGTGTGGACGCCAGTGGTTATTTGTATTATATCAGAAAATATTATCAGGTCATATCAATACTACGCACGTGTAAACTAACCTTTTTTTCCCAAATAAAGTACTCTTGTAGAATAATAACGAAGAAAGATGATTCTGAATATGGCAAAGACTATATCCAGTTCCTATACAGGAGTGAACTCTGAAAAATCATCCGTAAAATTTCAGCTCTGAGCTGGGTTAGTGATCGTATGCAGCAGTGTGGCGCTACTTAATTTTTTTTAATTTTGAGTAAAGTTAAAAACGTCAATGAAACTTTAAAGGCAAGTAACGCCGGCAGTTCAGGACCAGAATCCGTCAATATAACTGTAATCAGTTATTTCCGTTTTTTTGTATAAACCCATAAAAGTACTACAAAAATGAGATGTTGCCAGTCTTCTCACAAAGAAAACTGTGTAATCAGCGAAATGATGTAACGACGTGATTTGAATTCATGGAGCGATGAGGCAATTGACTTAAAAAAAGGGGGACTGGTAAGAGGCGAAAAAAAACACAAATCACGAGGTACGCATGTGGGTGGACTGGTGAAAGGTACGCACAATGACAAGTATAAAACACCAAAAATATATTTCGGAGCAAGGAAAAAATAACTTGGTAGCAAGGCCTACACGTTGTTTTGTTAACCCGAAAGTGTTTTACGCCAGGTTCACAATGACTCCGCTGACGCACTTGCATCGCGGAAGTGATGTTGGAAAATATATACTGAGAGAAAGCAAATAAAAAAAACATAAGGCAATCAATTGTCGCGCTGAATTGCACTTTCAACCTCTAGATTTTCAGCGCGTGGCGCTAACTACTACGCTACAGAGCATACGTTGTCAGACATGCTAACGACAAGCTATCTATATACCCCCTGTACCGTTGGGAAGTACTTAGAGCTTCGAAGCTTCAGCACGTTCTAGTTATCAGTGGCTAGATGGCGCGACAGGCTCACGTTGGGCGCGCTCTAATGGTCATCGTCTCCACGAAGCACCGCCTCCACGGAGCGTGGTCTCTCTTGCGCGCGCACTTATCAGGCTCAAAATTAGGGAGAGGACGAAGGTCACTTCGCACGCTGCCACGGCCGTCTTTGCATCCTTCTTTCCACCCACATCTTTCATTCCCCTCACACCTTTCCGCAGCACAGGGTAGCCAGCCGGTCTAAGAACTGGCTAACCTCCCTGTCTTTCCGCTTAAACTTTCTTCCTCTCCTCCTGTGCCACGGCCGCGTTTACGAAAGTAGCGCGCTGCAGACACACGACGCAAAAAGAATCGTGACAGTTGTTTGCACTCGTCCTGTGTATCTTGTGCGCTTGCTTCGTAGTTTTTTTTTTCTGTTTGAACAGCGCGCTTTAAGTGTTGAGTTGCCAGAGTTGGTAGTCTGCGCTCGTCCTGTGTATGCTAATTTCGTGCGTGCTTTCTGCTTTAGGTGCGCGCTGCAACTTTCGAGCTGCTTGCCGTTCCTGACCTGTCTTTTCAATTTGTTGCTGTTGCTGAAACCATGCACGAATAAACGCTCAACTACTTCTGTAAACTCGCGTTTCACTTTCGTGTCATACCGATTCCTATATGGGGCATCATACACGTCTTTTTTATTTTTTGTAACCTATGAAAAAAAAAAACGCTGAAAGCTTCACTCTCAACATTAAAAGCAATTGCATTTCTGCTCTAAAGATACACAGGAAAGTTTCTGAAGAAAAAAAAGATACAGGCAGGAAACTAAAGAAAAAAGTTATTCTTGGCCTCTATTTATGCGTCTTCATGCGTGCGCGGTCTTTGTCACTTCAATGTTGACGTCACAGCAAGGCGTCGCCTGCTTTGCATTTCAGAACACCACCTCCATCGCATCGCAAGCGAGGTGCATATAGGTCACGGTGTTAAACAAAAAAAAAAACAAACTCATCTCAGTTCGAAAAGCGAAGCCATTCTTGTTTCCAAGTTTACAGCACTCCCATGTTCATGGGAAATTCGAAGTTGTCGCACACAACGGGCGAACTTCTGGCGTAAACAGGCCCTCGCCTTCGCTCATCACTTTATAGCGAAACTATGCTTTGAATACGTCCGTTAGACTCACGAGCTTTTGTCAGACCGTTCGTAGCAGACTCGTCCTTCTCGTAGCTTCTGTTGCAGTTCATGCTTGTCATTAATATCACGCGGACAATGAAGAGATTAATTTGCTTGGTGTTCCAAGTTCATTTGCGCGCTTTAAAATGTTTATGTTTGATACAGAAGAAGAAAAGTGCTGGCGGGTCGCAGAGCACGGCTAAGCAGTTTTCAAGTAAGTGTTTGTCGCGCCGTACAGAAACGATCAAACTCGTTTCCTTCCCCTTTTAACGAGAGAGAGAGGGAAGAGACACTGAAGTGGCAACGATGGGGATCCGACTAGCGTATGTTTTGAATGCTGCGTGCTCACTATAAAAGCCCGGAAGTCGCTGACGCCGCCACAGGATAAAAAAAGGAGCTTCTTTTCCGCTGCGCCGTTAGTTCGTTTTTGAAAAGACCGTATGCAAATTCGCAATTAAACTGCTTTAGCGCCGGAAATACGACGGCGATACGCAACAAAGCAACAAGGTCGACGTGGTGGCCTTATTTAATATTTTTTTTCTACTCTTCCTGTTCAATAAACACTGCCGTCGCTTATCTTATGCGGAGTACGGGTACGCCAAGTTTTGTTTCGTAATTTTGACTGCAGCTGCAACAGTTCGCATTTGAATGCACTCATCCGCATAACGTCGTTCTTTTGTGTTGATTACTATTACCGCGTTTATATGTGTGCCTTGCTCTGGCGATGTTTTTCGTTGCCCCCGAGGCACTATAGAAAGCCGTCGGAGTCAGCCTGGGCGCAACGCTAATGACTCCGTTTGCAACACCCACTGCAGCCCCGAGTTGCCAAGAGGCGACTGGCAAATAGAAGCGAGTGCGAGGGCGTCTAAACAAGTTTGTTGTACTTTGCGTCGAGAAAAAATAACTTTTTCTTTTTCTACAGACAGATTGCGGCGTCAAATGACCGTACAGTAGCTAACCACTAAGAACTTGTTTTAGCGAGCTATTATCTGCCGTTATTGGTTTAACGTGCTTACAAGCACGAAAGAGAAAGAGTGAGAGAGAAAGAGTATAAAAAAAGTAAGGAGGCTAACTAGATTAGGCTCAGTTTGCAACCCCACACGTGGTGAGAGGGGACATTCTCTCTATTACCAGCATGAAGTAGCTGCGAAAGTTAACGCCTGCAGCAGGGCGCAAATACGCTGTTGAAAACGGCCGCCACATTTCCTACGCACTTGTGGAGTTTGCTCATTTGTTATACCGTCAGCAGGTAATACGGTGGGGGATGATCAGAGCTGAAGAGATTGATTGATATGTGGGATTTAACGTCCCAAAACCACCATATGATTATGAGAGACGCCGTAGTAGAGAGATCCGGAAATCGGGACCACCTGGGGTTCTTTAACGTGCACCCAAATCTTAGCACACGGGCCTACGACATTTCCGCCTCCATTGGAAATGCAGCCGCCGCAGCCGGGATTCGAACCCGCGACCTGAGAGCTGAATA